TTTTTTTATTCATTTTTTCCTATCTAATGTTTACTTGTCATCTTTAGGCTTTATTTATAAATATTTAATTAATAGTTTATATTTTAATATTTATAATTTATTGTCATTCATGACCATTTTCTTCTAAATTAAAATATATACCTGTATAATTTAAATTTTCTGCAATACTGCTACTACCTTGATTTTTTTTTATCGATTCTTTAGTGCTAGCAAAGCAGAGAGATCTTATTCCAATTTTTCTTGTCGATACTTTATACAGTTTTCTTTTTCAGTTTCTTCTTTTCATTTTTTAATTGCTATTATTGTTTTTTTTGTCAGGTTTTGTGATAAACTATTAGTTACATCTTTTTTCAGCAAAACAGTTGTGCCATGTAACTTATGTTCTGGCCAGTAAAAAAGAGTGTTGCCTTGTATAAAAATTTAAATAAAAACTTAGTATTTTATATTGCAAAATTTTTTATTATTTTTATAAAAATACCTGTTATTTCTATTTTTATTCTCCATTTAGCTATATAGAAGTTGTCTCCATCAAAATTACCTTCTCAGCAAGTAAATTCTGAATCACTTTTGGAGTGAATTCTTCTCAAGTAACTGACTGCAATTGCATAGTCCAGGAAATTTGTATAGTATAGGTAAATTTGCTGTATCTTCAGAATGCATATACTTCACAGTGACCCAAAAGATTGTTAAGTTAATTTCTTTTTTGTTATAAAAAACTGAGATACCTTTTTCAACTACTCCATATTTGTTTCCATCTAACCTTGAAAGTTTATGCTTGGCAATTTTTTGTTATATACTTGAAATCATATCAGTAGAAAAAATACTCATTGCATAGTTAAATAGAAGACTATTCATTGTGACAACTTTTACTTTATGCAGATACTGTTGGCTTGTTACCCATAACTCTTTCAATATATTGAAAACATGTGTAAAAATTTCATATTTTTTTGTCGATAGATATCCAAAACTTGTTGTCAGTATTTCTTAAATATGAAATTAAACATATATGAATTTTATATACCAGCAGCTGTCAATGCTCCTTGATTAAGTTTCGATATACTATCAGATCAAGTAACCTTTTTTCATAGTTAAAACATTTCTAGCACTGTATCTTATATAATATTTAAAACTTCAGGTTCAATTCGATGATGATATACAATAAGTATCACCTTGCCTGAATCTTTGTCATTAATTATAATTTTTTTATTTTTTTTATTATATTGGCAAGCAGAGAATAGCATCGATGGCTTGTATATATGAAGATAGCAGATTTACTTTTTTATATACTTTCTTTCCTTTGATTTTTTTTCATTATATTTAGGCAGGAGCCCAAAAAATATCAATTTTACATCGTGGGCATTGATAAAATATTTTTGTGTCATCAGGTTTTTCCTTATCTGAAATATAAAGGTGTTAACTAGATTTTTTATTATTAAAACTATTTGAATTTATAAAATTTTTAAGTGTTTTTGTTTTATTTTTTTTAATTTGTCAATGTCTACTTTCAAAGCAGCTGCAGTTTCTATATCATTGACATAATAAAATCTTAGGAACTTTACAAATTCTCTTCACCAATTTTTCTATTTTTTTATTAGCATTAATAAATATATACAGCAATCACATATACTTCATATATTTATATTTAAAAAAGAATCAATATTAAAATCAGATACAGCTAGGTAAACACTTGTTAATTTAGTGGAAGAACATTGCAAGCAGGTAACATACTCCTCAGGGTTATCATTTTTCAACAACATAAGAAAATGCAGGGTAGTAATATAATTTATATATATATTTAAAAACGGGTATTAACTATATATATATATGTATAATTTGCTAGTGCAACAGGAAATTGATAGTCTAGCTGCAAGTTAAATTGTCAATAATTTAACTTGCAACTATACAAATACCTGCTTAAATATTTTCAAGAGCCCTGCTTTAGTCCAGGATTTCTCACTGGAGGTAGCAATAACAATATAATAGATTTAAGCTTGCCTAACATTTTATTGACAAAATTTAATATATTAGTCCAGGGTTTTTCACTGGAAGTAGTTAGTTGTACTTTTATGAAGGTTAGCCTACAAGTATTAGTCCAGGGTTTTCTACTGAAGACAATATTGAACTTTATTGATAGCAGCTAATTGTATTTTTATGGAGATCGGCTTACAAGTATTAGTCAGGATTTCCCACTGGAGATAACTTTATAGACTTATCAGATAAAAGGCTCTTTGATTTTTGTTTTTCCTTTCAATCGATTTACTTACTATTAGCTTAATCCATTTCTGTTTCTTTGAGACATGCATCATATTATCTATATCAGTATTTTTGAAATAAATATAAGGTACAGCAGTAACAAAATATCAAATGACTTATACTCGCTTGATTGTAAATATGGTAGAAACAGTAAATTAATATAAAGGTTTGGTCAATAATTAAGATGCCAGGTTATTTAATCAGTAAAAGATGCCAGTTAAAGAAGTCGAAAAAGGTGTTAGTATATTTAGTTGAAAAAAAAAGAACTGATATACAATTGCAGCAAAAGCAAAGGCAGTTAATGTAACAGTTGTAAAAACATTAGCAAGTGATAAAAATATATTTTTGTTTATAGTTATGTAATGATAGGCAGCTATATATATTTAAATAAAATTAATCATTTAATCAATATATAAAGAGATGTATATATTTTCTCGAAAACTAGCAAGAATCAGGAAAAAAAACATTTACAGGTAAAAAAAAAAATTTCTGGACAAGATACCTGGCAGTAGGAATGGTAAAGCAATAAAAATAAAAGGAAGCAAAATAAAAAATTGACAAAAAATTGAAAAAAGTTTTTTTTTATTTATTGTTCAATCATGTCTTTTTATTATAGATCACTCTTACATTGATCAATTTTTAATAATTATTATCTACCCAAACAATTACAGCAACTTACATTAATTGGCATATATCAGTATTATATTGAATATTATAGCAGTATTATTATATAAGTACTGTAATACACAGGTTGTTTGTTTCATTAAAAATTTTTTTCTATCTTAGAAAAAATCTAAACAATAAATATTATTTCTATAATATATTAAACAATACAACAAAAAAAAATAAAATTTAAAATAAATTACTAGCATTCCTTGCCAAAGGCCCTAATAAGTTCATATTTTAATAATAAAATTAAAATAAACTTTTATTTAAAAAACTTATAATAATAAGTTTTTAGATAATATATAGCTTCAATAATTGAAAAATAAAATCTTTAATAGATTAAGAATAAAAAATATATTATATAAAATTATTTTATTTTTAAAAATTTTTTTGAATGATTTAAATAATAAATTTTTTAAAAAATTTTTTGCCTAATTTTTTCCTTTTATAGTTTAATATTATAATTTAGTAATTACCAAATAATTAATTTATTAATATATCAGTATAATTAAAACAAATTTTTTGAAATTATAGATATAATAAAATATTAATTTTTAAACTTAATTAAGATGATTTTTTAGAATATATATCCATAATAAGTTTATTATTATATAAAAATTTGGCAAATGATTAAATATTATTATATGGTTATTAATAAAATATTTTATAATAATCTGATCATCACATTAGAAATCTTTATTACTATAGGAAAAAGTTTTTTAAATGTAAAAAACTTATTTTCTATAAAAATATTGTACGGTTCTAATTATTATAGGAATTTTGAAACTATGGATATCGAAGTTTTTCGTGATCAAAAAATATTGTTAATTTCTTATTATATTATTTGCTCTTATGGTTTTATCAATTTTTTTAAAAATTTTTTTGTCTATTTCTGTTATATTTAAATTTTAGATAATACAAAGTTTCTTGAATAATAATTGATTAATACAAAATACAGTATATTAAATTCAAAACGAAGTTTTATTGATTGTAATTTTATATTTTAGCAATACTGTTAATAATAAATAAAAAGAAATATAATAATGGTTTTTTCATTAATTATATGTATTTTAACTAAAGTCAAGAATAATAAGACTAATAATAAGAACAAATCTTTATTTTTTCCATTCGATTAGACTTAACAAGAAAAATCTAATATACCGATAAGATTTGTCAAAAGGTTCTTATCTAAATATTGACAAGATAATTCAGCCCAGATCGTGTAACCATCAAAATTTCAACAATAAGTTCTATTCAGACCTTTTCTAGCTTGCTATCTTCATTTTTATTTGCAGAAAAATAATGGTTTTCACAGTTGTCTATCATCTTTATTCGTGGTGTGCATAATGTCAAAATCTTGTTATATCATCCGGTGATCTTGGTTGTTCGAGATTCATATTATGATCATGCATGCTGTATTGTTTTTCTCAGATTATTTAATATATGAGTTTTGTACGCAAAATTAATTTTCGATTTCTGAAGCGATAATAAATCAACGATCCAGTATTACACGGGACTATAAAACAAAATTAATTTTGATGGAGTATAAGGATATCCGATAAATATACTGTATATTAAAAAACCTGATTACATAGTAAAAATTTATTGTGGACGATTATTCTAATAAAAAGTAAATAAAATATAATGTATAAAATATAGTTCGGAACTTATTAAACCTATGCTTATGGATCACTCTTTCATTGTACACCTTACAATAGCTTCTCTTTTCCGCTTTTCTCCCTAATGTCTTATCTTTTTTCTCGATATTTGCAAAAAAAAAAAAAAAAGAGAGAGATCATGTAAGATAGAAAAGGCCAAGGTAAAAATATAAGTAAGGAAATACAAACAGAAATTATGTAGCGAATGAGCTAAAGGATGGAATTCGTCAGTAAATGAATTTGTTCACGATTTGAAACAATGTAACCGATTTTGCCTGCTTCGTATGACATCAGATCTGTCATATCACCGTATATTTTTACTCGATAGAACTTCTGGCTTAAATTCAATTAAATGGCTTCTCGTTTACTTACGATATTCGAGAATTATATCTTCGCTTACATATTGTGTAGATTTCATTGTTATTAAACTTCGGCATGTTTAAGACGCTTTGAAAGTCGACCTTCCACATTGGTACGCAATAAATCATCATAAATTCTCTTGCTAATAAGTCTATTCCAGAAATCCATATATTGATCTTTAAAATTTGAGTTTGGGTTGTTGCTTATTTCATTGCGCATAACAATCAGATCGTCTATCCAATCGGCGATAATTAAATCGTAAACTTTTAAGTCATGTTCGACGTTCTTCCTTTTATTTGCTACTTCTTTTTCACCATCACTCAAAGAAATCCAATGTGATTCATCTTTATCAAGGGCGTGGAAAAGATATCCAAATAAGGGTTGAATAACTTCTTTTGAATTTGCTCGGCTTATCAATTCTAGATGATCTGATTGGAATGGAACTTCGTTCTTACAAAACTCTTCATACAATGTGCAAATTTCCGTGCACGCATAACTGGCCATGGATTTGGGCACTGTTTGACGAGGGAATTCCTTTGTTTTAATATCAATCCATACTCGAACTAAAATAATGTTATCAAAACATTTCCTTGCTGTTTCGCTCTCACTCCCAAATTCTTCGAGAATCCATTTGTAAAATAGTGAACACAGTTTAGGCGCAATGATTTCAACAGATTCATCTAAATCCTTTAAGTCGCTCTTTCTCATTCCTACGTAATAATGATCTAATATACGATTGACCTCCGGCTGTATTTCGTTTCCTACATTCTTTTTCAAGAAGATCAGCACATCCCGCCTTTTCAAATTCTTTTCTGGTTTTACTACCTCTTTTAAGCACTCGGACGCAATCTGTGAGCCGGATTTGTGGTGTACTTCCCGAAACGATTCGATTAGTATATCCCCAATTCTATTCAGTTTATCCTCAAATATGCAAAGCACATCTGCCATGACGGATGCAGACAACTCAAATCCGAGTTCAGTGAGTTGTTTGAGTTTTTCTACTACATCGTTCATATTTTGCTGATCGTAATCCTCAGGAGAGTTGGGCGGAAAGAAGATCAACAAAGCGCCTTGTAATACTAAATCGTTGACATCTCTGCAAATTTGAAGGTACCCTATCGATATCCAATCTTTAACCAGATCGGGGAAAATTAAAATTGCTCTCGCGATCACATTCAACTGCCTGCTGTTTTCGTGCCCATCTCGTGGAGGGTATTCTTCTTGAGCCATTGACTTCACCAGTTGTAAGTACTCGACTGTGACCGCGAACTTCAACTTCGGTCTGGGAGGAAACGGGATAAATTTCATTTCGAGTATAAGTTCCTTAATTAACTTGACGTTTTGAATCAATCTTATTTTTGCTTCCTGAATCACCAGTGGACCACCTGACAAAAAGTGAAATAATTCCATATCATTTCCTTTCACAAGCATTTTTTCACCAAATCTAGAGTATCCTTCGTTCAATATAGTCATAAAAATCTCGACAGGAAGTTTGCTGCCCCATGGATATTTTTTTATTGACATTTTCATTTTGTCGGTTTCAGTAGAATTATTGTTGTGCTTTAACTTTAACTCGATAAGCTTCGGGTCTGATTCACCAAAATGCATAACTAACCTCTGTACAAAGTATCTAGAGAGAATGACATCATTCGCGAAAAGAGACTGCAAGACCTCTAAATTTAAAAATGGAGGACCCAACCTGATGCTATTAAACAGTGAGTGGTCTCTGCCATAGTTTCTAATTAACCATTTCGCCCTGGCGTGAGGATCATATATCACACCCCTCCAGGCTTTACAGGAACAGGCAAGGTTTAGGATGTTTACGCTTAATATGAATATTTCGATTTTGATTTCGAACAGTATATCCTCAAACCTACCTAATAATAAAACAAAAACGTTTTTGAATTAATAAACGTTTCCATCAGATATAAAATTTTTTTAACCATTTTACACTATAGACACATTCTGCACTATAACTCATTCATATGAATAAACAACGTACTAAAGATGCAAGAAAAAATTGTAAAGTATTACGCGTGTCAGTAATTTTACACATTACACAAAACCACCAATATTGTGCTATTATAATTACTTTAAAATTATGACCATTCTACTTCTATTACTAAAAATCATTAGGAACTGCTGTGTTAATTTAAATAAATCAATTACGCACCCATTCTTCATTTCTTTCAAAATCAAAAAAAAGTTCTTGACCGCCCTTTTACTGATCACGCAGATCATTCCATTATAGGAAAATTCCCGGAATTTGAGGCCGATAGATTACTTATTTCTTCACTTTGCGTAACCCAGGCTAATTTCGCGTAACCCAAGCCAACTTTCAATAAAGTTGACTTAAAATCTTGATTGTTTTATTATTCATTACATTCATTATTTCTTATTACTTTATTTTATTTCGTTTTATTCTGTTTTTCTACTTTATAAATTAGTCTTTTAAATTGATAAAATTGATGATAACAATAATAATATTTTAAAATTATTATATCATAAAGTTAATTGTAACAATTAAAATTAAACTTTTTAAATTTTATTTAAATATAAAATTTAATATAATGTGTAGTTTTATTAAAGAAATAATAATAAATTATTTGGTTTTAAAATTATTTAATATATATATATTTATTTATTTATTTTCAAAAGTTTTATTCTAGTATTATATTTTTATTATAGATTTTAATTTTACCAATTTTTAAGTTCTTAATATTAAAATAATATAAAATCGGAATTATTAATAGCATATAAAAAAATATTATCAAATTTATATTTATATTTAAATTTTAATCTATTAATTCTTTCATAATATATAAAAAAATATTATAAAAAGTTTTTAATCTAAATTAATAAAAACTAATTCTTATTTATTTTTATTTTCATATAAAAACTTAACTTTTTATAATCAAGAAAAGTCGAAAAAATATATTTTCTATTTATAATAAAAAGGTTTAAAAGAAAAAAAAACCAATAATATAATATTATAAACCTATTTTTAAAGTAAAAAAATATATATAAGTTTTATATAATAAAAAATAAATAAATAAAAACTTAAAAATCAAAAAAAAATTCTTTTTGTTGATTCTTAATTTTCCTAAAAATTTTCTTTTTTAATAATTTTCGTGAAAAATAAAAAAAACCAATTATAATATAAGAAAAACTTTCAACAAAAATCAGAAACAACAAGAAATAACTATATAAGACCAGTTCTTGATGTATCTAATCTTTTAGCAACAAGAAATAACTATATTAGATCAGTTTTTAGTATATTCAATTTTTTAATAACAAGAAATAAATAAGTATTAATACACTTTATCTATAATTTATTGATTTTTTTTCTTTATAAAGAAAAAAAACATCAAAAAAACTGATTTATAATAAGCTTTTTAAAACTTAATCTTAATCCTTCAAGCTTTTAATTAGGTCAGTGCAAGTTAATACCTTTTTAATATCAAAAGAAGTCATGTAAACAATAAGTCAAATTAATAAATCAGTTTAGATTCAAAGTTCACAGTATCTAGAAGGATATCTAATCTTTTTTACTAAACAATAAAAAGCATCAAAATATAAAACCAATAATATATAATAATTATCATATCACATAAAATACAAATATATTATTTAAGAATATAATAATTTGTTTATATTTCAAATAAATTATTTAATAAAATTATAATTAACTCTTCAATCTTACATATTTTAACTAAACTGTTTTGATAAACAATATTGATTAATTTGAATTAAAATAAACAATAATACATATTTGATCAAAGTAAACAAAAACACATATTTGATCAAAGTAAACAATAATGTATATCTAATTAAGACACAATATTGCACAAAAGTAAATAACTTATTTTTTAAGAATATGTGATTCAATATAACTATAAAAAATATAAGTTAATACAAATTACAAAGAAAAGGGAAGCACATATTATAGATATACTGATCCAATTAGTAAATAAATAAAATTAATAATGAATACTATAAGTTATATAAACTATTCACAATATAATATCTCTATAAATAACATATTTAATAGAATTCCAGAATCAAACAAATATTTGATCTTAAATAATATTATTACTAGAATTCTAAATATTAATTAAATCACATTCATTTAGATCACAGTTCTTAAACAATATATTTTTTACTTATAGGCCTAGGAGCAATACAAATAAGAAGATCTTTTGGTCTCTTTCCTGAAAAACAAGTATTTGATATAATAGATCAGAAAGAAAAATTTCAACAAACTTTTTATACTTCTTCAAAGAAGCAACTAGTAATTGTAATTATTATGCAATTAGAGATCTCTCTCTAAAAATAGATATAGAAGTTTAACTAACAACAATAATAGAAATTCCCTCTAATATTGAAATCGAAATAGAAAAAAAATAATATAAAATTAGATTGAAATAAAAAAAATTATTAAAATAATCCAAAGAAATAATATTACTAAACAGTTTATAAATATTATAAAAAATAGATCAAAATCATCCAATCTAAATTCATTCCACATCAAAAAAGATGGTAAATACAAAATGGAAATATTTATGACTAAACTTTTTGAAGAATCAAAACATAAATAAATGGTATATTTTTAAAATGTATTGGAACTAATGATGGATTTATAAAGTATTTGACATATAAAATTTCACAGATTACTTATGTTCCATTTGAGAAACAAAATACCTGGGGTCCACTATAAGTCATATGTATTAGTGCGAGTGGATACAGGACACAAATCGTTATATCATTGGATACAAGAAAGAGCATACCCTCTCACAGACTGATCATCCAACCAGGACACAAAGAAGAACTAGCTCACTTATACTTGCTGATAAAGACAAATCAAGCACAAAACAGGATATGAACAGGCAAGAAGCAAGTGACATGACATCCTTTACACAAGACCGAACTCTCTTTCAAACAATAAAACAGGTCGAGATACAAGACAGGACAAATTTTTCTTTTTTCTTTTTCTTTTTCAAGCATTAACGAGGTCTTCTCATATAAGGAACTCCTAACACCGGTGGTGTTGGTTATCCTAAGCGAGTTCTTGGCACGTTAGTTTCCCCTAGCAGGGATAGCAACAGGTCATCCAATAGGCAAAACCCTAGGAGGTGTTAGTTCTAGAAATAGGTATAAGGTTGGATTACTTCAATGAATATTAATTCACATTCCCTATAGTTTAGTTAGAGTTTAGAGAAAGTCCTACACTAGACAGTCAATAGTCATTCCATCCTGATTGGGTGAGATGTAAATAGATACCTCTTGTACTATTCAGTGATTTGTAAATCCTTAGGCAGTAAGGATAATTAGTCATCCCGGTTGTCCCTAGGACATATCTTGATTTTAATAAAGTATACGAACTGACGCAAGAATGAGCTAGCGTTTAAAAAAAAAAAAAAAAAATTGAGAAACAAAATACATAACTCTTTATTTTAATAGAAACAAAAGTTGAAAAATACTATAAATCAATAATTTAAATAATTAAGAATAATTGTAAATAGTTTTTTAATGGTTACTAATTTAAAATTTTTAATATTTTCTAGTAAAAACATTTGACTTTTATACTACTTTTTCTTAAAGGACCCATATTTAATTGAAACTACAAAAAAACTTAAAAGTCTTTAAAAAAAAGTTTCTTAATAGTAATATCTATATAACTTTATTATTGTAAAAAAAGAAAAAGATGTTCTGCAAAAAACTCTTTCCACTGATCCTAAATTTCCTAAAAAATTTTCCTTTTTTGGCAATTTTCTTGGAAAAACCAGAAGCCAGCCACTACACAAGACAAAAGTCTTTAAACA